ACTCAGAGGGTTGGTTGTTCCTTTTTTTTTCTTCAGGAAGTTTGCCAGCCAGTTGTTAAACAGCTCTTATTAATAATTAAATCACATAAACTTACAATTAGCTGTGCTGAGAACAAAGTTAGCAAATTCCTCATTTCCTAATTGCTTAATACATGTTGCCACCCTTTGGGCCTCATGTTATTGTATGTAATGGGTGCTACTGTGGACCTCTTCGCCTCCACGTCCCCCCAAATGATATCAAGTGGACAGCTGTAATTCAAGTTCCACACCGTGGAATGTGGCAAACCTCATGGACTAGGGCTTGGTTTATCAGTGGCCCGGGAAGGAAGACACTACAAATTAAATAAACCAGGACCCTCTCATTATGTTGTAAATAACATAAAAAGTCATAGGAATGTTCAAGTTTTAGAAAACAACAAAAAGTCGTTCAGCTCATTGGCTATATGTCTGCCCCCTCTCTTTTGGTGGGTGTACCACTCACTGGCTGGAAATTAAGGTCTGTTGGCATTCCCGTCAGAACCATACAGAGCTGTTTGTTTGGTTTGTTCGGTTCTTACCAACAATCCACAGCTCCACTCCAGAAACCTCTGGACAGGCTATCTTGAGGCAAACTGACCAAACTCTTGAGGATCCAGCCTCTTGAAGGTCCTACCTTCCACTCCCTGCTAGGGAGCTGGCCAGGCCTGAAAGTGTGCAGGAACCAGGCTATACCTGCTTTGGATCACAGACGGCATGAAGATCTCTGCCTACCTGAGCACACAGGCTGGACAGAGACGTTTATTGGTGGGACGGAGGGCACAGTGTTCTGAGCATAGGGCTGAGCGGAGTAATGGTGAGGGGGGCTCAGGTGGCCAGGAAGCCGCCGTCCACCGGCAAAGCGCAACCCGTGGTCATGCCACTTCGGTTGCTCAGCAGGAAGAGGATGGTGTCCACCACGTCCTCCACTTCTGTAGGCAGGATGAGGTCAAGAGCAAAGATGGAGGAAAGGTTGCCTCATCCTGCAGCCCCAGCCGATCCCCAGGCCCAGGCAAGCCCTAGGCCTGCTGGTACAGTTCCAGTCTGGACTCCAGCCTCGCTTACCAGCGAACTTGCCAAGTGGGATGCGATCCAGCATAACTTTGGCCTTGTGGGGGTCACTCCAGTTGGTCCGGCCCATGGGTGTCATCACTACCGTGGGATTGACTGCGTTCACACGGATCTGCGAAGAGGCCAGCGAGTTATAAACAATGTGTGAAGGTACCCTGGGCTTAAGGACCGACTGGAGGAGTTGCCCGGGGCCAGCGCACCTTGTGGGGTCCAAGCTCCAGGGCCATCATCTTGGTGAGCATGTCCAGGGCACCCTTGGTGGAACCTGTGTGGGAGGGTAGCTGTAGAGGCCAAGAGCTGGCCCGGGAGTGGGGGGTGTGGAATCCAACACAGCTGGAGTTACTCACAGTAGACACTATGGTTGGTCAGCGCCCGCTGGGAGGCCTGGCTGGAGACGTTCACGATGGCTCCTGGGACTCCCTGAGCTATCATGCCCTTGGCCACAATCTGAAATTTTGAGGGTTATAAAACAGAACTAATGCCGGGCGGTGGTGGTGCACGCCTTTAATCCCAGCACTCGGGAGGCAGAGACAGGTGGATCTCTGTGAGTTCGAGGCCAGCCTGGTCTACAAGAGCTAGTTCCAGGACAGGAATCAAAAGCTATGGAGAAACCCTGCTTCGAAAAATCCAAAAACAAAACAAAACAAAACAAAAAAAAAACAACAACAAAAAACAAAAACCCAGAACTAACCTTCTACTTCAGAGTTCCCATTCCAGCCAGGTAGGGCAGCTCACCTGAGACACCTGGATGACAGCCCGAAGGTTCACGTTGAAGGACCTAGGAGTGAGTGGACAGCCTGGTCAGGGGCAGGACTCCTGCTGCTGCATGGGATGGTCCCTACAACCCTGTTAGCTTACGTGTCACAGGCCTCCTTAGTGATCTCCAGGAAGGGTTGCAGCAAAGCCACCCCGGCGTTGTTCACCAGCAGGTCCACCGGTCCCACATTGCTTAGGGCCCGTTCTGTGGCCTCCCAGTCTGCCAGGTCTACACACACAGGCTCCACGCCAGGACACTGTGTGTATTGGGGCAAAGCAAAGCCGTTAGCAACTGTGTCCCAAGAAGGTGGTGCTGCTGGCCTTTTCTTCCCGGGGAAAGGTAGCTAGCTACTCTGGGAGAGCTGGGCCTGGAAAGGTCAGGGGTTCCAGCCTCAGCAGCAAATTCGGAGGCGGAACCTAGAGCTGAGAGACACAGCCACGCCTCCGGGCATGCATTTCATTTCCTCTCCGCCCAGCATTCTTGGACCTAGGACTGCTCTCTCGGCGGACATTGCATTTTCTTCCAAACTCAGGGAGCCAGGATATCTAGATGGACTCCCGACCGTTTGCGCAGGTCTCGGATCTAAGAGTGCAGAGGGCTCCCACCACAACACCCAGCGCCAGGCGCAGGGAGCAAGACGGGCCTGCAGCGAAACACGCTGTGTGGGTGAAGGGCGTCAAGGGGCGCGGCGTCTCACTCGGAGACCGTCTCCTCGCCTCTGGACACAGTGCCTACCTCGCTAACCAGGCTGTCAAGGTCCGCTCGTGTCCGGCTCACGGCCACAACATGTGCACCAGCCGCCTGCAACGCCAGCACAGTGCTGCGCCCGATGCCTGAGGCGAGCGAGGATTAGTGCGGGCACCCCCTTTTCAAACCAGCCGGACCCCACCAGCACCTCTTTCCCGCCTCCTCACCTTTGCCCGCGCCGGTGACCAGCGCCCGCCGACCTGCAAGTCCCAGGTCCATGGTGGCCCAGTCAGATCGAGCTGGAGAAAGATGAACTTGGAGTTCCGGAATCGAGGGCGGGGCGAGGAGAGCCAATCGCGTGGGCTGCGCCCTGAAAAGGGCGAGGATATTAAAATAATAGCTCCCTCTGTCGTGCTGATTGGCTGAACTGCAGTGGGCGTGACCGAGGCGGGGCTGTGTGAACCACGGGACACAGCTTCTCAAACTGCCCCTGACAGATCCAACTACAGAGCCTGGAATCCGCTTAGCCTTAGCGAACTCTGGTCAGCATGGTTTTCACTGCCAAGAAAATTTCCATGAGAAACAGATATACTAGTTTCCCCAAGCGTTTCACGGATTTTCGTGAACCTGAGAGGCACGTCCAAAAACGTTTTATGTGCTCTTTCCCCAGGCCTGGGAGTGAGTCGCACTTGGGAGGCCAGCCTGGTCTACAAGAGCTAGTTCTAGGACAGGCTCCAAAGCTACAGAGAAACCCTGTCTTGGGGGAAAAATAAATAAATAAATATTTTTTAAAAAGTGGGCGGGAAAGGAAGAGATAGGATTGGTTTGCACATGAAAACTGGCCAGACAAGCATTGCTTTCCAAGTCAGTAACAGATAAATGAATGTCCAGGTGTGCACTGTGTCTCCCTATGAAAATATTCTGTTGTTAGGGTCATGGTGAGGAAGACTAGAGCTCTGAGGACCTACTCTGGCCAGTAGTAGGGATCTGGTGAGGGCCGTGAGCCCAAAGAGGGGCGTGTGTGGCCTGACCTGCGGAGCTCAGTGGCTAAGATCACTGGATGCTCTTGCAAAGACCTCCAGTGTGATGCCCAGCACCCGCATGGCCGCTCACAATCTTCTGTTTCAGAGGAACCCATGCCGTCGTCTGGCCTCTGTGAGCGTGCCCATGGTGCACAGACGTTCATGCAGGCCAAACCCATACACATAAAATAATAGTATTCTTTTTTAAGAAAAGAAAAACATCCGGAGGGAGGCCAGAGAGCCAGGTAGCCCCTCCCCCATCTTTACCTGCTCACCACCACTGTAAGGCCATTCTGTGAACTCTGCCCTTTACCTGCTGGGAACCAAGAGAGAGACAGCACCCAGCCTGCCCAACCCCAAGACCCAGCTGCCCAGAGCTCATTAGTGGCTTCAGTATTCCAGGACATGCACAAATCTCATTAACTGTTCTGTGGTCCAGGGAGCTGCTCAGGCCTTGTTCTGGAGAGAGGTACTCTCAGAACCCGTGTCCTGCGCTTTTTAGGTCTTCCTTGATCCCATCCCCCTTTGCTCTGCCCCTTGCTCTGAGTTGGACTCTGTGTCAGTTCAAACGGTTGGCCACTTCAAGCCCGACAACCTACCAGATGCCAAAGCAAGCGAGCACAGAGAATTTTTTTTTTTTTTTGGTTTTTTTCGAGACAGGGTTTCTCTGTGGCTTTGGAGCCTGTCCTGGAACTAGCTCTGTAGACCAGGCTGGCCTCGAACTCACAGAGATCCACCTGCCTCTGCCTTCCGAGTGCTGGGATTAAAGGCGTGCGCCACCACCGCCCGGCGAGCACAGAGAATTTGTCAGGGCCTCTGAAGCTACTCCAACGAGCCCTGGGTTGCAGGACTCTAGTGCCTGCTTGTTCTGGCCAGGGTGATAAACCAGCTAGCTAACTGTGTGAGAGCTTCTGTTTGGACAGCCTTGCTACCATGTTCTTGTGTATGGACCAGGCCAGGGAAGTGGGTTCCAGTGAAGATGGAAAGATTCCAATCCCTTCCAACGGCTCCTCTCCTTCTGCAGAGTCCACAGGTTTAGGAGTGACTTGGTTTAGGACATCTCCCCTTCCCTGCTTTCCCCTCTCTTCCCCTGATTGCTGGGTTGGGGTCAGAACACCATGAGTCACCAGACCCAGTAATGGAAAGGTGAGGGTGCCAAGGGAAGGGGCACAACAACACAGATGCCTTCTTCTCAGAATAGCCACCCCTTGGGCACACTGGTCATAGAGCACAATAGATTTTGGAAGATAGTAGGCTTTGAGGCGAAACGGCTGTGTCAGGACCTGATTGGGCACCCAGCCTTGCAGCAGAGTCCTGTGCAATGATTTGGGAACACAGCGGCCCATTTATTTAGGAAAAGGAGACCAGTAAAGTGGACAAGAATATCAAGGATCCCAAAGTCCAGAGTGTGGACAATAAGACGGGGAGCTGGGAGCTGCGTCAAGGACCGGGTCATGGGATAAGTAGAAGCTTTGGCTGGAGGGTGGGCCAGGGAGGCCACTCTGAGGCGCACCACATCTGGGCAGTCTAGGAGGCCAGGTACCCAGCGTCCACCAGGATGCCAGAGCCACTGGTCGAGGCGCTGCTGTCGCTGAGCAGGAAGAGGATGCTGTTGACGACATCCTCCACCTCTGCAGGAGAACAGAGCAGTCAGGGCTTCTGCTTGCTCACCTGCCTGCTGGGAGCCAGCCCTGGTTCCCTCACCCACGCCCCCAGCTGACCTGCGAACTTCCTCAGCGGGTGGCGCTCCTTGAGCTTCTTGGAAAAGTCAGGGTTTGCAGAGACTTTCTTGCCCATATCAGTCAACACCACAGTGGGGTTTACGGAGTTTACCCGGATCTGGGGCCAGAAGCCACAGTTGGTGGCACAGCCAATGAGCTAGCCCTACCCACACTCTCAGGACTTGCCCCAGCACAAGCCTGATGAGATTGTTTCACTCTATGCAGCTGAGCACTGACCCTGCTGCTCAGAGCGGTGTGCAGGCTGCGAGCCCCAACCCATCCTCACCCTCAACCCCCAGCCCTGCCCCAGGTGCCCATCATCTGACTACACCCAGGCTCCTGTGCCCACCTTGTGTGGCCCCAGCTCCATGGCCATGGCTTTGGTCAGCATGGTCATTGCTCCCTTGGTGGAACCTGTGAATGTGTGGGTGCTGAGAACCCCTTAATCATTCAGCCTCCTCCTGAGAGACCCACCCAGAACCTCCTCCTCCTCCTCCTACCACAACGAATGGTGCACTCACTATAGGTGGCCAGGCCAGGGAAGGTGACATAGGCCACCATGCTGGAGACGTTGACAATGGACCCTGGCACTCCACGGTTAATCATGTCCCTGGCTACAATCTGGAAGAAAAGGTTGGGGGTAGCTCACCCTGCCTTGCCCTGCCCCAGCCTCCCCAGATGCTCATCCCCGGGTCACAGAACTCCTACCATCTCACCTGGGACACCTGCAACACGGAGCGCACATTCACCTTGAAGGACCTGGCAGGAGAGGAACAATGTCTTCCCGCACCACCCGACTTCCACAACCCTCCCCAGCCTGCCCATGCTCCCCGAGTGCCCACCTGTCAAAGACCTCCTTGGTAACCTCCAGGAAAGGCTGCATCAGAGCCACGGCTGCATTGTTCACCAGCAGGTCCACGGGGCCAATACTGCCCAGCGCCTTCTCCGTGGCCTCCCAGTCACCCAGGTCCACACACACGGGCTCTATGCCCGGACACTGTGGAAGGCATAGTTGGTGACTGAGGCATTGTCCCTGTCAGCTTCTGATGTATCCCTGAGGGTGGGGAGCAGGCCCAGGCCAGGCAGGGCTGTATGCTCACCTCTTTGGCGAGGCTGACCAGGTCTGCATGGGTGCGTGTCACGGCCACCACTTTGGCTCCCGAGGCGTGCAGGGCCTTCACGGTGTCCCGTCCAATCCCTGGAAAGAGGGATTATGGTGGGATGAAGGCCCGTTAGGCCTGGTCACGGCCAGGGTCAGGTGAAAGTAAAGACCCCAGAGGCCAGCTGGTTCCTGATAAAGTCTGGCGGAGGCTGCGTCTGGTGCATATCTGCCCAGTCTGGATCTAGGATCCTGCAGCCATCACGGGTATTGTCACTCTGTCTCGGTGGGTCTCCAGCCAGGTGACATAAACGGGTCAGTGAGATTCTGGAGGGCTGAGCTGCGACAAGATCACCTTGGGCCCCTATTCTGCGTTGAGGCGGCCCCCTTACCCTTCCCAACCCGCTCCCACTCACCTTTCCCTGCCCCTGTCACCAGGGCCCTCAAACCACTGAAATTGAGCTGCATGCTGCTGACACCCATGTCCTGCAGCAAGAGATGGGCTCCCTTATTTAAGGCTGGGCTGGCAGGCGGGGCAGAGGTGGAGCTAGGAGTCGCTGGCCTAGCCAGAGTGGCATGACTCATTCCTCCCCAGGTAGGATGCCTCACTCCAAATACGCCAGCTGGCTTGCTTGGTAGGGCTTGGAGAGGAAATGAGAAACTTCACACACACACACACACACACACACACACACACACACACGCCCATGAGAGGCACTCACAGAGCCGTGTAACAGAAACGTTGGAGGCCTGGGCATGACTTTGCGTTTCCTTTGGTCTGACTTCGTCTTGACCCTCGTGGCACGCTAGGCAAACTGTTTAACGCTGGGCTGCATTCCTGCTCTAGGAGGAGAGAGATTTCGGTTTCCTAATTTGCTTTCTTTGGACAGAGGCATTGGCTGGCCACAGTTTTAAGGGAAGAGGAGCTGGACTTCCAGTCGGTTGTGGGTGCTTCAGCCTGACTGAAGGACCGGGACAGCTGTCCCCGTGGACATGACATGGTAGGGCCGGGACATCTGTCCCCGTGGACATAGCATGGTAGGGCCGGGACAGCTGTCCCCGTGGACATGACATGGTAGGACCAGGACATCTGTCCCCGTGGACATAGCATGGTAGGACCGGGACAGCTGTCCCCGTGGACATAGCATGGTAGGACCAGGACATCTGTCCCCGTGGACATAGCATGGTAGGACCGGGACAGCTGTCCCCGTGGACATGACATGGTAGGACCAGGACATCTGTCCCCGTGGACATAGCATGGTAGGACCGGGACAGCTGTCCCCGTGGACATGACATGGTAGGGCCGGGACATCTGTCCCCGTGGACATAGCATGGTAGGACCGGGACAGCTGTCCCCGTGGACATGACATGGTAAGACCGGGACTGCTGTCCCCGTGGACATGGCATGGTAGGGCCTAGCCACTCAACACTGTCAGCGCTCAGGAGATAATGCAGCATCCTGGATTGACTCTGGGTTGCCGGGGTGGGGGCAGGCGTCTGAGGAACAAGGATAACAATCTGATTCCTGGGCTAGGGCAGGTGGCAAGATCCTGAAGTCTGTCGCCTTTACTTGTTTCTCTCCCAGGTGACCTCCACATACCCCCAGAGACTCTGCCTATGGTGATTACACTGGAGCCCCCTCTGCCCTCTGAGGTGGGACTCCCCTTCTTTTCTCAGAGCAGTTGGGTGAACCCTTGGGGGAATTCTTGAGAAACCATCAGAGGATTGAATGTCCATCCTAACCAGGGGTGATCACCTTTAATCCCAGCACTCAGGAGGCAGAGGCAGTTAGATATATCTTAGGTTGAGGCCAGAGAGAGAGAGAGTTCCAGGTCAGCCACGGCTACACAGAGAAACCTTATCTCAAAAAACAAAAACAAACAAATGAAAATGCCCATCATAATTCTCCGTGTGGGAAGCTGTCTAAGGCCAGGCCAAGTCCTACCTGATCTTGAATAATAGGGTTCATAGAAGGAACATTTCATTCCAGAAGAGCCATGGCAGGGTGTAAGCCAGCTGTGCCAAGCAGGTCGGGTATACAGACCATCGAAGAGACAGCCCCATGGAGCAGGGGCACTCGGGCTCCCCACCTGCTGCCTGTCCCTTCCTGTAGCCAGGTTCCACACTAAGACTGAGTGACCCTCAGAAAGAAGGCAGATTGTAGGTGATGTTCACCGCTGATTAGGGCAGGCCCGATGACCCTTGGGCTTCCAAGAATTTGCCTGTCTCTGCTTTCCATTTTCCTGTAGGGAAACTGGGGTTACAGATGTGAGTGGGTTCTTGGGGCCTGCATCAGGGCTCTCTTGTTTGCACAGCGAGCTGGGATGGGTTACAGATGTGAGTGGGTTCTTGGGATCCTCCGTGTCAGGGCTCCCTCGTTCGCGGAGTGAGCACGTGACCCTCTGAGTTATCTCCTTGGCCCTGCTTCTTTTTCTTTTTGTTTCAGCTAAAGTTCTGCAAGGTCACCAAGCCTTTTGACTTATTCTTTTGTTTTGCTTTGTTTTGTTTTCTGAGATAGTGTAGCCCTGGCTACCCAGGAACTCTCTTTGATAGACCAAACTGGCCTTGAACTCAAAGATTAGCCCAGCAACGGGATTTTTTTTTTTTTTGGTTTTTCGAGACAGGGTTTCTCTGTGGTTTTGGAGAGTGTCCTGGGTTAGTAGCTCTTGTAGACCAGGCTGGTCTCAAACTTACAGAGATCCGCCTGCCTCTGCCTCCCGAGTGCTGGGATTAAACGCGTGCGCCACCACCGCCCGGCTCGAGCAACGGGATTAAAGGTGTGCACCACCACGCCTGGCTGCTGCCGCCACCTCCCCCTCTTCTTCTTTTCCTTTCTTTCTTTCAAAACATTTTATTATAAAAGTAAAATGGGCAGTGGTGGCACAGGCCCTTGATCCCAGCAGTCTGGAAGTAAAGATCTCTGTGAGTTCGAGACCAGCCTGTTTTACAGAGTGAGTTTCTTCGGAACAGCCAGAGCTATTACACAGAGAAACCCTGTCTCGAATAGCCAAAAACTAAAACTAAAATGAAAGTAATACTAGTAATGACCGAAAGGTGGGCAAAGACGTCCTCTCACCGCCCCGCTGCAGCCGGAGTTCGTCGTTGGATTTGTCTGCTTTGCCGCCTTGCCGTGCTCTTTGCAGCCATGCTCACACCACATATTCTGTATCTTACGATATTTATAGCGTTGCGCATGATTTTTATAATACCAATCATTGACTTTCTGTAAGTACGTAACGTACCGTTTGTAGATCTCTATTTGCTATCTAGACCGGGGATTGTAAATAATGCCCCTATATTTGCTTTGTTGTTCCTGTTTTGATTTTGGTTTTTCGAGACAGGGTTTCTCTGTGTAACAGTTATAGCTGTCCTGGAACTCACTCTGTAGACCAGGCTGGCCTAGAACTCACAGAGATCCTCCTGCCTCTGCCTCCCAAGTGCTGGGATTAAAGGTGTGCACCACCACACCTGGCTTATTAATTGAGTTTTACTGTAACACAGCCATGCCCATTTTTTATATGACCATGGCTGTCTTCACATCCCCAACAGCAGTGTCGGTAAATTATAGCAGAGACAGGAAGGCCTACAAAGTCTCAATGATTTACTCTCTGACTCTTAAAAAAAAAAAGCCTCCAGCTACTGCCCTGAAGTTTTGGTGGCTTTCTCTCTCTCTCTCTCTCTCTCTCTCTCTCTCTCTCCTCTCTCTCTTTTATTTTTGGTTCTTTGAGACAGTTTTTCTGTGTAACCCTAGCTATGCCTGGAACTCACTCTGTAGACCAAGGCATGCACCACCACTGCCTGGCAAAATTTTAGCTCTTTATTTGGGCTGTGTTGGTGGTGCCAAGCCACTGCCATCTTCAAAAAAGCTGCCCCGGAGTAGAGGAAGGGGACTCCCTCTAGAAGGCTATGGGAAAGCATCGTCCTTGTTAGGTGCAAACGTTCCAGCGTTGGCTACTTTCCAGTGTGGTTACCCACGCTCCTGACAGAAACCCTTTACCTGTAGTCTGCATGTAAGTCCAATGGACTCTCTCACTGGGGCCTAAGGAAGAGGCGTAAATGTCATTACAGGTCTCCCAGGAGAATGCCACTTGGAACATGTTTGTGGATTTTGTTTTTCAAGAGACAGGGTTTCTCGGTAGAAACCTTGGAGCCTGTCCTGGAACTCGCTCTGTAGACCTGGCTGGCCTGGAACTCACAGAGATCGGCCTGCCTCTGCCTCCCGAGTGCTGGGATTAAAGGAGTGTGTTGTGGATTTTTTTTATACTTTGAACAATATACTGGGCACATTATAATAAGGAAAAGAAGAGACTATTTAAAATGAGCTCTCTGTGGCAGTAAGTATGGTGGACAGGGACAGCACAGAGGTGGAGCCTGTGTGAACACATCCTTGCCTAATAACCTGGCCCGCATACGGCCGTAATTATAGCGTCTCTGATAAAAGTTCAAGGGCAACCATCCTGTATTCTCAAGCAGTATGGATTCTTCTATTTGGAAAAACTGTATTCTGAAAGAAAAGGTATGGATTGGGACCAATGGGCAACCCTGAGGATTTCTTTTTCTTTTTTTTTAAAGATTTATTATGTACACAACATTCTGCCTCTGCATGTATGCCCACATGCCAGAAGAGGGCGCCAGATTTCCATTACAGATGGTTGTGAGCCACCATATGGTTGCTGGGAATTGAACTCAGGACCTCTGGAAGAGCAGCCAGTGCTCTTAACCTCTGAGCCGTCTCTCCAGCCCAGCCCTGAGGATTTCTGAGACAAAAATCCCTCTTGTTCTACTTAGCTTTCTGTTGCTGTGATGAACAGTATGACCAAAAGCAAGCTGGGGAGGACAGGGTTTGTCTCATTGGCTGTAGTCCACCATAAAGGGAAGCCAGGGCAGGAACTGGAGAAATCAAAGCAGAAGCCATGGAGGAACACTGTTTACTGGCTTATCTGCTTGTGTTTGTTTGAAAAGGGTTCCCTCTATGCAGCTATAGCTGGCCTAGAACTCACTGTATAAACCAGGCTGGCCTAGAACTCACTGTATAGACCAGGCTGGCCTAGAACTCACTGTATAGACCAGGCTGGCCTAGAACTCACTGTATAGACCAGGCTGGCCTAGAACTCACTGTATAGACCAGGCTGGTCTAGAACTCACAAAGACGCACTTCCCTCTGCCTCACAACTGCTGAGATTAAAGGTGTGTGCCAGCACAGCTTGCTTGTGTATACAACCCAGGACCATCTGTGTTAGTGTTCAGGCATCTTTACTGACCTGCCCTTGGCGTTCTGACAGGATACATCCCCAGCTGCAGCCACTAAGAGTACCTCCTGTGTACATTCACTATGTTCTCTTTTAAAAGGCGCCACCACCGCCTGACTTTGGGGGTTGGGGGAGGAATCATGTGTGTCTGAATAGGGAAGTGCAGAGAGCTGTTAGGTCCCACCTGCCAGTCCAGGGAGCATGACCTCAGGGTGGCATCAACCCTGCATGTTATCCTGTAGAACAATGGGCTTTCGGGTTCCTAAA